ATTTAGCTGAAAGCTGTTTTGAACATATTCCATCAAAGAATCGCAACAAATTTATTGTTCTATTCATAAATGTGAAATATCGAAACCGAAGAACACTTATTACGAGAACACAATTTGAATCGATCACATATCAAACAAAACTCCACTTTCAAGGAAAAAAAGAAATCACAGAAGACGATCAGAATTTGACGACATTCGGTTGAACTAAGAAGAGCCGAGTTCAGAAGTTGACTCAAAGCATCAGTTGAATTGAAATGAAACACAACATCAGACTTGAGTCAAAACAATTATGAAAGCGAGTCAAATGAAAAATCATTTTTCAATTTTATACGATGCGTATATGCATACTACCTGGATTGGCCAGGTTATCAAATGTTTGTAACGTTGCTGGCCACAATGCGTTTCCATTCAATCCTTAATCTTGATCCTTGATCCATTCAGTCCTTGATATGCATATATGAATGTTAATACAAATTTGAACGATAGCAATGTCGATAATGCTACGATACGGATGCTGATGATTGTATTGATAGATAAATTATCAACGAAAAAAATGCGATTCAGAATTTAAGGTGATGCGTGGCAGTTTATGCTTGCTGTTGTTGTTGACGACTTGGTCCGTGCTCATATCGGACACCAAAGCAGATTGGTTTGACGATATCGTTGACGGTATTCATGAAAAATTAGTGGCTGGTGCTGATTACCTGAAAAATTCGGCAGCGCCGGCGATTCGCGAGAAATTCAATGAAGCCAAAGGAACACTGCAAGACCCTGAGACACATCACAAGATCAAAGTATGGCTTGAGACGGTCGGTTATCATTTTCGAATGTTATTGCTTGATTACATACTCTTAACGAGTGCATATTCCAATACGCGCCATCGATCAACCATGGACTAGATCCGCTGAGTTCGTTGGCAATCTCAATTCCCCATCGCAAGACTACCTGAGAAATCTGAAGCCTAAAAAACTGCTTTGATAGCATCGAAGTAACAAAGTTATCGCGATAGTGTCGCATTTTCTCCGTCCTGCCACAGTATCGAAGCAGTAACTGATAATGATAGCTGCTGATAAAGACAATGAAAAATCTCGACA